AACTCCAGATCCGGCTGAAGGTGTTGAGAAGGCAAAGTATAGTTCCTCAGTCTCATGACGCGGCTGGCTAGTGGGTGGTTCCTTGTAGCAGCACAAGATATGCTGTGATGGCTGTCGCGAGATGCGTACGGAGGGGAGCACCGAGTTCGTTGCACAAGCGGAAAGAGGGGCAGTGCAATGCTGTGTTTATGTGACCATCTGTATGACTGGCGGTCAGTTTGTTGATCGTCTAGCCCCTGTACGAATGGGGCAGCCTCGGAGCCAAGCCAAAGCCGAATACCTCCTCTTCCCAGCCTACACGTATTCGGTCCAACTCAACGCATTCTTCTACTCAGCCTAAAGTCCTGAGGGGCTAAAATGTGCGTTTGATGGTAGGATGTATGGACACACTACGCTTTCCTTTCTCTTTCCACAAGTACAGCGGCAAAGAGAGTCAATCCTAGCCAAAAGGCCAAAGGCCATTAGGTAGAAGGAGCCATGAGGTGGGGTTGATTACTTGCAGTCAGGGAGAAGGGAAAGAGGCTAGACTTTGGTGTGGTCCGAATGTCGAATCGCGCAGCCATGAGCAAGGCGATCACAAAGTGACCACCAGTCAAAAGGACGGTCGAATAGTCGAGGCAATGCAAGCAATCCCAGCTATCGACAGATTGCTTAGGGTTGGTCTTTGCTTGAACGAGTGGTTGCGCGGGTGGACGAGGGGGAGGAGGAGCCGGATATGATGAAGGTGTTGTTGTTGTTGTCTAGGTATAATCACTTGCCCTGCAGCCATCACCAACCTCCAACGTGCCGCACATTCGTGCACAATGAGGGTTCAAAGTGAGGCGAATTTATGGGGCGGGACGTGATTTGATGGTGGATGGTGTGTTGGCTAGTTTATGGCATCATTTGTTGGACACATTGACAGTTGTTTTTCTCGCAGTTGTATCAACAACGGTTTCGCGTTGTCGGAGCTGTCGTCCTCCGAGCGACACAAAGTGTTTCAGTGCTTGCGTGCACTGCATTGGACAGAAGGTTTGTCCTCCTTCCAAGTTAGTCAACTCGGCACTGTTGGGATGGCGGTCAGCTGTATGCCACACCTGTCTTCACTAACTAGCCTGCCTTCCTCACACTTCACTTCACCGTGGAAACGGTGTGACGTGCGGTTCATCCGTGGTGCATTTGAAGACTCCACAGAATGAAAGGATAGCGCAAGTCTTGCAATTTGGTCTGGGCGAAGACAGGGACCTCCACTCCTCACTGGAGGGCAACTGAACACTGCGGTAGGAATGCCGGGTTGTGAGGTGAGGAGCAAGGTGGCGGGATTGTGCAATGGGCACTCTCGCACTTGTTGTGAACGGCGTGCGAGACGCAGCCTTTTGTGTGTACACCTCACCATCACATGCCTGCCCACTTAGCCTATTGCTGTGAGTGGCCTGTGGTGTGTGTCCATGCGAGAGTGCGTTTGAACTAGAGACATTTGGTGCAGACACCGTGGAGAGGGTGGTTGTTGCTGGCCTCGCATCAGCCCTCATCATCATAGCAGTAAGGTTTTGACGCTGACATTGTAGCACCCACCCAACACAATCAGGATTGGGCGATAACATCGCATTCTGGTGTCTGCTAAAGCGAATCCACGCTGAGAAGGGGAAGTAGATCGCCAGCGAGGAGGCGAGGAGAGGAAAGTGGTTTAATCGTTAGGGGGACAACAATGTTCAACAGCGTTTGCCCTTGAGTGTAGGCAGTGAGATGAGGCGAATGTAGAGGCAGGGGTAGAGGAAGAGATAATGATGAATAGCTCCTTACACAACCAATAGCAACAACACCAAAACATCTCCATACTACTTGCACATTGGAACCCGCCCTCGGTTACCGAACTGCAATTCCTGCAAAGCAGAGCTCGCTTTGCGTACTGTGCATGGTGCATCAACTAACCCAATGCCTGCCTCAAATGCACCCCAATCTCCCCTTCCAGTGCTCACAGTCAACGCAGCAAGCTCAAACATTTTATTTCGGCGATTCGTTGATCACTAACACAACGGCGCAATCAAGAGTACCAACGGTACTGGTAGCAGTGCTGGTGGTGGTGGTGGTAGTAGTAGCAGTAAAAGTAGTGGTGGGAGGGATCATTTAGTACTCGTCGTGGAATGGGTATTCAGGGTGCGTCGCAAGTCTGAAACCGAAAAACGGAGGTTGTGAGACAATGCTTGTGCATAAGCATGACCTTTGTGTCGAGCCACTTAAGGGGGAAATGACTTACGATGAGAATAAGAAGTAGCGCTTCCTGAACTCCGTCTTGTCCAACTTCTCCATTTCTGCAGCAGTCAGCTCAAAATCAAACACCTCGACAGAAACAAACAACAGTTAGGCAAATGCGGCGCGGTGTGCGTTGGTGCCTTCCCTACTCCAGACTCACATCAAAGTTCGACTTGATGCGTTCCGGCGTGACGCTCTTGATGAGGACAACAATGCCCTTTTGCAGACCATGGCGTAAAAGCACTTGTGCAGGTGTTTTACTGTGTCTCTGAGCGATTTCCACAACAGTGTCCTCCTGCAGAAGTGGCTTATCCTTGCTCCTAGCGGAACATTAGTGACGCATCGTTTAAACTAACACTTGTGGGAAAGTGAATGAATGAATGAATGAAGGAAGGAAGGAAGGAAGGAAGGAAGGAAGGAATAAAGAGATAGTGCCAATAGGCGCAGACTTACTGTACGAAGCCTGGCGAACCGATGGGTGCATATCCTTCAACCAAAATGTTCTTGGAGTGGCAAAAGTCTATCAACTTAGTGTTTGGACAGTGAATATTGACCTCAATCTGGTTAACTGCCGGTACAATTGTGCATGAGGACAAAACGCGCTCTACTTGCCTCCTGTTGAAGTTGGACACGCCGATCGACTTTACCAGTCCAGCCGCTACCAGTTCTTCCATGGCCTACAGGCACAATCATTCACCCTCAGCAGTGCACTCACCTTCCATGTATCCTCAAGTTTGTGGTACTCAAACGCCACCGAGTTTGGACCATTCACATCGAAATGAGCGCCCTCGCTCAACCTGAAGGAGACCGGAAAATGTACCAAATACAGGTCCAAGTACTCCAGACCGAAATTCTTCACTGACTGTTCACACGACTTGCGAACATCCTCAGGTGCGTGCTTGTCACACCAAAGCTACGCTCAGTAAAGCGACTATCAAGACTCTCAATGGTACCTTGGATACGAGGTATATGTCCTCACGTTTAAGGTTGTGCTTCCGCATTGACGCTGCAATTGCAGCGCCCACTTCCTCCTCGTTCTCGTAGTACACAGCGCAGTCGATGTGGCGGAAGCCTGCGTCGATAGCCTCCTCAACAGCTTTGTATACCACCTCTTTGGGAGCCTACGA